ACATTTTACACGACAAATGAAGTCACATACAGATCGATAACGTTTAACAAGCATTAAACAAAGTCTGTAATGCAAAAGAGGGACATTTTTTTATGTGGTCCATTTATTGAAGTAATTCATTTAGCAGGGACTGGCCATGTGACTGAGGGAGTTGAGCATTTTTCACTTTAGCTACTTTAGAGTTTGAAGCCAGGCAATATATTGCATGCTGATTTTCAAGGTATAAAAGCTATCCTAAACTAGAAAGTGAAAGTGTAAATAATAGACTCGTGTCAGGTTAGATAAAAGCCTACATTACTTGTAACTGTTGCCTACTTCAATGCTGGTCTAGTTGTAGATTTTTAGGCATTGGTTGTGCCACGTGTTTGAACCAAAGTAAAAAGCCAAGGTTCCGAATGCTGAGTGGAGGTTAGGTTTAGGCTTCTCTTGCTCGTTTCAACCTTTCTCGATTATTTAGTATACTTTCTGTTTCTCACACATACAAACACACCCACAGGTTTGCATCAGGGGCCAAAGGCGTATGATACAATTACCTGCCGGAGATTTTTAAATGACGTTCAGGCCAGTCCCAAATCAGATATTGACATGCACGATGTCATTTTCTCAAGTTATTTTCAAATAGAACACCTGCATTTCTTCACAGTACATGAGAGGTCCTTATATCTGTTGAGGATTTTACATGACTAGCTGTTTTATATAACACATCATATAATACGCAGAATTAATTTGAAATTACATCAACATTTTTATTCACTTTAATGATTCCATATCTAATGACACAATAAACGTAGCAGTGTTTTATATAGAAATGCATTGTAAATGTTTTTCCTATACAAAATTGTCGCCGTCATCGGTACCCGGCCGCATCCGAGCATCGGGATCGTCATTCTCTCTCCCTCTTCATTTTCTCCTCTTTCCATCCCAGTCGTGGTGGTGATGATGACGTAGATGGCTGTGAATCAGAGAATTTGACGAGGCCATTCGCGTGAATTTGATTTTGGTGGACAACTTTGCGCGACTTGGCCAGAAGTGCGGCTCAAAGGGATAGGCGAGATCTGGGAAACCTGGTTGCATCGAGCTGATGGATGTTTGGTCTGTCAAAGTCCGCCTTGGTTACGTCAGCCCGACTGGCGCTGCCCTCTTCCGCCAGTCTAGCTATTCTGATCGTGTAGATCTTTGCCTATTCCGCCGTTGGAGTCTTCAGGGGTTTGTCGTGTTCAGTCTGATATTTTCTACTCGACCATACTGCATTGGTAACTCTACAGACGTTGGAACACAAAACGGCTTTGCTCTTGGGATTACTGGGACACGCAAGCCCTCTACCATGATAAGTAATGACCATATATATTTTATACTGGATGTTGAAGTGAATGGTGCGTTATCAAATGTACCACTTGACTTATTACTTTAATGACAATAATAAAAACGAATCAATAAATAATAAAAGAATAAAAGTATAAATTATCATTAAATATATGTGAACATTTTTTTATTATTGCTTTTGCTAAAAGTAAATATATGAGAGATAAATAATAAAAGAAGAAATTAACTACTGAATCAATAGTAAAAAACAAAAAAAAAATGCTGTCTATACGCAATTTTAATGGTAATATTAACCGTTTCCTTATAAGGAAACATTCGGTATTCATTAGCTGAGCAGCTATTTCTACTGTCGGTTGAAATTTATAAAATCTTTCTTAAACCAAAATAGGCTTCTCAAGTCCAATAGCCGCTATCGGTTTTTATAGTATTGATGGCGATATACATACTAAACGTCTTATTTGAAGTAGCGAGGACATCGACATCATCTTGATTATGTCATTATGTTCTGTTCGAGTTACACACTCGAGAACTCATTATGTTCTGTTCGAGTTACGAACTTGAGAACTCAATATGTTCTGTTAGAGTTACGAATTCGAGAACTCATTATGTTCTGTTCGACTTACGAACTCGAGAACCTATTATGTTCTCTTCGAGTTACGAACTCGAGAACTGATCTTCTGTTCGAGTTACGAACTCGAGAACTCATGTTCTGTTCGAGTTACGAACTCGATAACTCATTATGTTCTGTTCGAGTTACGAACTCGAGAACTCATTATGTTCTGTTCGAGAACGAACTCGAGATAGCCATTTTAGTTGTTTTTGCTGTTGCAAGTGCTCAAGTAATGTGGTTTCTGGTTCAGTTCTTTGATTGGAATTTTGAAGCACTAGCCCACAGTACTCTAAAATGGATGTTTTTCGCCAAAGATCCACAGGCTTCACTGGATCAAAGCCATTTTAAACCATTGATTTTTAGAAAGCGGTTATCTAGAGCTGAGGTTAGATATTTCTGAAGAGGTTTGGTACCAGGCTTATGAAAGTCACGATCTGACGAAGCTATTTAAGAGCAAAGCATTAATTTAACATAAGCAGTTTACATAACCCCTGTCTCTAATAGAAAGAGAACTAGAAAACCTATCAGCGTTCATAATCTTTACATAAGATACGAGAATAATACTGTGCTGATGTCGGTCTCTGAACGAAAGCTCAAAATCTCCTTGAAAAGGTAGAAAAGGAAAACAAAGAGAGCAAACACACAAGCATTGACTTTAAAAAGACAGAATCTAGGATGACCATCAAGAGATGCAGCCAAAGGTGTGAGTTTCAAAATGGACAACTCAAAATCAAGGAGGTATGTGTATTTAACTCTCTGCGTTGAAGAGTAGCAGACGAAAACAGAACATGCGACAGAAGTCCAAAAAGGCACCGGAATAGCAAAACACATAGGAATATTTCATTCGAAACAATAGTAAACAGTCTTAGATTGCTACTCCTGTAGTGATGTGAGTGCTGGACAATTTCCGTGCAGATGGAGAAGAGATTTGATGCGAAAGAGATGAGGATCTGCAGACGGATATTGAAAACAACATTGACAGAGTAATGATGAAACTCTAAAGACAAAACACTTATATTTGAAATCACAAAAAGACTGTTGACATTTCCGGCATATAGTATGAGGAAAGAGGGCTTGGAATATGTAATATTTATAGGGTGTATTCAGGGAAGGAGGGTAGATGGAAACAGTGTGCAACTTACCCAAAGAATTTTGGTGAATGGATTGCAGAGCAGAGACAATGAGTCTTAATAAAGAATTATATGTAGCGTAGACAGGGAGTAGTGGAGAGCCATAATCACTCACATTCTAAACCTAATGAGTGTGGGTGAATAATTAGAAGGAAAAAGACAAGGAAAGTTGGTAAAGAGTTAAATATTGCTTAGAGCTAGCACCAAGGAACAGGAAGTTGTGGAGAGCCAAAATCGCTCATACTTTAAACTTAATGAGTTTGAGTGAATGAATGGGAAAGCAGAGAAAAGGAAAAAATGTTAAAGACTCAAATATTGCTTAGAACTACAGGGAACAGGAAGTCGTGAAGAGTCCTGATCTCCCAAATTTTGAATGACGATGATCATCATAATCATCTCTGATAGGATTTATTAAACAAATACATCAATTCAAATGATCACCTATACAGCAAAAACTGACAGTAGTTGGTCGGTGAAATAAACTAATAATTGCGTTAGGCATTAATTACGTAATTACTTTATTTGTGTTTTACTCCTATTTCTGGCAGCCTTACACATTTAGTTCAATTGATTTTCGTTTTATAAATTGACGACTATAGACTTCAGCAGGATTGCCACAGTCTCAAGACACTAAGGATATCTAAAAACATATTTACACCCGTGGCCATAAAACCATCTACAGATATTAACTTTCCATTGCAGAAAATGGAACAAGGTCAGTAGTAGAACCCGATGCTTGTGGGAAAAATAATTATTGTCGATCAAAACCAAGATAAAAAAAAAAACGGGTTTAGTAATCGGCAATTAAAGGAAGTGTTACAGTTTTCATTTTGTTCTATGTGCCGTGTCCTTTCAGGACGTGGGGATCGTGACTCTCTCCAATTATCTGTTCTTTGTAGTTCGTCTTTTTGCTATCTCTACTAATCCCTGTTCTGCCAACCATTTACACATTAGAAAGATTATTCGCTGCTTTGTCTTCAATATGTCCTGTGAGTGTCAAATTTTCTAAACCCTCTTTCCTCATTATGTTCCATAGAACTTTTAATTACTTTTTTCTGATTCTAATTATGGGCCTTCTTTGTATCAATTTTCTCTAATACTTCATCATTACTCACATGTTCAGTCACTGATATTCTTCCTAAATATCGTCTTCATCTGTGAGGAGATTGTCCAGCATTCACTGCTATATAGGAGTAACAATATTACATAAAAGTTTAACTTTTCTTTGTATCGAACAAGATTTTTCTTGTTTCTTAATACTTTGCTTATTTTACTCAAGTTTAATGTTTGATTGTAATATTTATATAAATCACTTTTTCAGAATCATCATAGTTATTTCTATAACTTGGTAAGGGGGTCTGTGATAACAATGTCAACGTAGTTTGGTCTGATGACTTCCGTCTGCAGTATCGACACTCCTACTTTTTATTCACACATACACAATATGGCCGACACGGTACTTCCGTGTCTGAACAATGACTGGAACGGTGATTCCGTTTCCTTAGTTCCCGTTTAAAACAGTCATCCTTAATGTCGGTTGATAGACACGAACCTTCCCCAAATCCGGTGTTACATGTGCAAAATATGAAGAGTGATGGGGTTCAGCATTCTACACAGACTTATAATGTGCTGGCAGAGGTGGGGGTGATCCCGATTGATTGATTCGTTTTCTACGGCTTATCAACATTTTGCCGACTGACTTTAAATAATTTAAAGTCAGTTTTTTTAAAAAATTGTAAGATGTTTTTCTTTTAGATAATAATAATTTAGTGTTCAAGTCTTACTAATTAACCCATAGCTGGTGGAGAGAAGAGTTGGGTTCCTACCTTTCCTAAGAGTATTTACGCGTAAGTGAATATAACAAACCAAAATGAAACTGGAACTCGGTACCCCGAGCCGTTATCCATTACACCACCTGAACGACCAAGATCACAGAAACTTGTATTCTCAAGTCGTCATCCATCTCAGTACTGACCAGGCTCGATGTTGCTTAACTTCGATGATCGTACGGGAACCGGTGTTTGAACGCCATACGGGCGTAAGTCTGGAATGCTCTTAGTCTTCTAGTGGAATTCAGTAGATAATTATAGTTTCAAAAGAAATGGATTCAATATATATATATATATATATATATGTGTGTGTGTGTGTGTGTGTGTGTGTGTGTGTGTGTGTGTGTGTGTGTGTGTGTGTGAATGCTCCATATGGTTTGGTTGAATAAAAATGATGTTCGCCTGGGAGCCAAGAAATCTCACCTGATGGGGAAACGGAACGAGCCATGGCGCTAATACATCCTATGGTTGAGTGGATATAGAATGAAATAATGCTTTCCCTTTTCTTTTTATAATACTTTTTACCAAGCCACCTAGCAGGTGTTAAGGGAAGTCGCCTGGAAGACAAGGTGGAGTAATCTTACAGCCTGACAATCGGTCTTAGCCTCCTCAATAACACAAAACTTGCTCAGTATATTCCTAGATTTGTTCGATTTATACCAGCTTTATTTTTTTTTACAGCCATTTTTTAAAAAAGGAAGCACACAAAAAACGAAGCCATTGTTATAAAAACAACATTCGTTTTTTAGTTAAACTCTAAATAATTAATATAAAAAAAAACCAAAACAAATGATCACATTTATATTCGTTTTTTTCCATATGCCATGACCTTAAAGTACGCAGACTTAAATGTTACATCGTGGATAAACCTATATACAATAAATAAACTGTAGGCTAACAAAGGGTAGTTGCTTAGCATACAGAGATTTATTATTCTTTATTGAAAATAGTCTTCTGTTTTTTTTTTGTTTTTTCTTTTTACAGTAAGTTTCACTCTTTACAAGGCCAGGGGCCACTCGAGGTAGAGCGTCACGTTAAAAGGTAGTATATCTGGATAGGAGGGGAAGAAGATAACGGTTAACACTATCCTTGAACAGATTAAGATTGTAGTGGTCGCGGAAACATCCGCTTCAGTACAGAGGTTCACAGGCATTTTCTTCTTCTTCGTCGTGTCATGTCCCTTCAGTTGTCAATAACAATGTTCATCACACACACTGTTCTGCTATCCATTTACACAAGCGTGTTTGGAAGGTTACCCGCTGTTTACCTCTGCTCCTCTTGCCTTCAATATATCCTGTGAGTGTCAAGTTCTCAGAGCACTCTTTTCTACTTAGGTGTCAGAAATTGCTGATTCTATGTATAAATGCCCGTTTTGTTTCACTTTTCCTCGTTGTGTCCGCGGATGTGCGGCTAGTGTAAATGAATAGGGACTAAGAATGAGAACTGGTAGAGCCTAGTTCTTGCCTTGTCCCAAATACTCTTGGGAATGGTATGAATCAATCTCCTCCACTCAAATCTATAATATGAATATTAAATCATTATTCTAAAAAAAAAAAATCGTTAATATAATATTCACTTGTAAAAAGGAAGGATTATTCATACAATTGAAAATATGTTTCGGCTTTAAATATGTAATGTAAAAAATTAAATAAATCAATCAATTCCATGTTGATTCCATGATCTGTTCATGGTATACTCAGCATTTGTAGAACTACATCTCTGTTGCTTTAATTCTCTTATTTCTTTGTTTCTCAGGAAATGTTTCGTAATATTTTGCTGAGGCATACTGTAAAACACGGTGTTTTAGCTTCGAAAATAATTTCCGTTTTACTTAGCTTTCAGAGTAAAAAATGTTTTCATTACGCCCAGTAATGAACATTTTTAGAGCTACGAAAATGACACGCATTTTCCTTGAGCATCAAATTCCAAAAACAAATAATTGCAATTTGATTATATTCGGTAAAATCCGTTTTCTTCGACCTTCGAATACATTTTAATAGCATACAGTAATAACCCTGTTCTAGGTTCGAAACTATCGTTCATTCCCTTTGACAAATAGATTGCAAAAACAAATAATCACAATCGGATTATGCACACTGGAAAATGTTTGCTTAAAGCGAGAAAATTAACGCGCCTTTTATTTGATTTCCAGAGTCCAAAACCATTGAATTTTACATAGAAATTTGGCACCGATATAAATGTTTGAAGTTGGAAATTCTTACGGTATAAGAATTTATTGCTTTACTCTGAGAAAGTTCTGCAATAATAGAAACAGAAAGCAGCCACTATTTATTGAATTGACATTGAGTCGTTGTAGGAACCCGAGACTTTAAGGTGAGGGAATTTTTGCTTTTTTAAGTTAAACATCCTCTTAATCATAAACTATTGATTTGTGTTATGTCTGCCTCAAATGGATTTCACTGTTTCATGAAACCGATGTCGACTTTTCATAAAACTTCCTTGGTTTTGCACTCTTTTTTAAACAGAAAAACAAACACTACGTTCTGTCGAATTGAAGTTTTTTGAATTTATGCATAAATATTTTATTAGTAGATTACCTAAATACGTACATCATTTTCTCTAACTAGATATACTGAGCAAATATATCAAACGTTTCATTTACAATAATAATCAGATATTACGACGTGGTGTAATGGTTAGCTAAATTGTCTCGCTAGATCAATTATATCTGAATAGTGAGTTCGAACATTACTGGTCGGCAATTCTTTCAATCTTGTGCCACATCTAAGCAGGGCCGGCGCGTCTTACTCGAACCCTCGACCGGGTTTCTTGGGGGGACTGTTTTGACCTCTGCCATTTTTTTTTCAGCACTGTTTTATGGCCATTCCCTATCTTTTAAATTATTTTTAAACTGATCTTACATTGTCAGTAATCAACTAAAAATAAGTCGTGTATCTGCATGGCTGGTGCATCGCGTACTACGGTTATAGCCCCAAAAGGGCTAGTTTCAGCAGCGTTTTATTTTATTTTAGTTATTTATTATTTTTTTCTTCACTTTAGCTAAATTGTCAATCGTCAACTATAATAATCGACAGGGCCTGTGCTTACTACCCCGAACCTCTCAACCGCATGGGGGCCGAAGCAGAAGTGCTAATTTCAGTAACGCTTCTTTTTTTTTTTAAATTGTAATTTTCATTCAGATCTTTTAAATCAATTAAGAGGGTAATATATCTCTGATAAAAATCATTATTTATCCTGAGATCATTCATTAAGAAGGATCTGATTTTTGTTTTTTTCCACTAATAGAAATACGAACCAGAAGTCCATGGCCAGTAATTTCTAGTCCCTTTTTTAATATTTCTAGAAAGATAAAACGGAGAAAATGATCGCTTCAAAAATTAAAATGTTTAAAGATTTCAACATATAAAAATTTTTTTCCGAAAACTGAAATACTGTTTTTAAAAACTGTTGTGACCAAGTAAATGGTTAAGAAATAACAAAAACCAGGTTTGCAGATCTATCGTATATTAAACAGTAAGTACACCAGAAGAGTATTACACGATTAGTGAGAGTGTATTGAATGAACTAGCGCTAAATCTATTCACTGTTCCCCCTACGACCTTCTCTCTTACTAATCTTATAGTAGGCGGAAGAGTCCAACAAAGACTCTTTAGAGGGAGGACATCACAACCCCAACCACTTTTCAGCATAACTCCGTATGGAGTCTTTTTTTAATTACCACACAATATTTTTTATTCAATCCTTTTTCGCAAGGGAAAAAATCAGAAACAACCACCTTGAAAAAGCTATATACAGGAATTACATTTACAATTCTTTTAAATGATAATAGTTTCGAATAATCCAATGCGTATTGTGCTTTTCTGGTAATTCAAAGTTCATAATTTTTTTTTTTTAGTCATTCTTTTTGTTTTTTTACTCATTTTTTTTTCTTTACTCATTCTTTCTTTTTTCCGTTGGCATGTATGAAATGAAAAATATTCAATATATTTTCTTTTTCGGGTCAATTTCTAAAGGTACCGTGAATTTCCTTTTTCTTTTGGGCCTTCTGAGGTCTCAAACTGTGCATTCTTGGAACAAAAACGTTGTAATAATTGGCAAGACCTAAAAAAAACTTTGAAGAGCCGACACATTTTCTGGTGCTGGCATATTCTTTATTGCTGTTGCCCTATCAGGGTCGAGACGTCTTCCGTTTTCGTCAATTATTTGACCCAAGTATTTAATCCTCTCTAAGAAACTCAGACTTTCCGTCTTTTAATTTATATCCATAATCCTGGATGCTCTTGAACACCTGCCAAACGTGCGATTCGTGTTCCTCGATGCTCTCGCTTTTCATTAGGACGTCATCGAGGTAGACCATCGCAAAATCCAAACCATTTAACATCGTATCCATGACCTGTAGAAAAAAATGGAAGGAGCGACCTTAACCCCAAACGAAAGTCTTAAAAATTGGTATAAACCCTTGTGGGTGTTTAAGCAAAAGAGCTTCGAGCATTCCTCGTCTATGGGTATTTGTAGATTTTCCTCCACTGCGCTCAGCGAATATCTCCTCTGGACTTGGAAGGGGGTAATCGTGATCCTTTAGGGCGTTGTTCAATCCTGTAGAGAAGTCAGCACATACACAAATTTCTTGGCACATTTTTTTAATATAAACTGTGGGAGATGCCTATTCACTATATTCAACCTTTGCCAGGAACACCCATTTCCTCAAGCTGATTCAATTCTTCGTCAATTTAATTTAACGAAGCAAATGGAATGTTACGTTTTTTCTTAAAAACTGGATTAACGTCTGAATAACTCAAAATTGACAGACATATTTGTGCATTTTCCTAGTCCTTCACTGAAAACGTCTGGAAATTTTTTAAGTTCACCTTTTATCTTTTCTGCTTCGTCAGTCGAATAGTCATATCCTAAAGTTGAAACTGTTCTAACCAATCAGTCCCGAAAAAAATTACCCATATTCTTCATAATATACGTCTTTAGTTTTAAATTGTTACCTTTAAATGACACGTTCGTTATAAGTTCGCCCATAAAATTAATAGAGTCGCCAGTTACACTTTTAGCTATTCGGTTCGTTCTTAAAGTCGGCTTACCCAATTTTTTCCATGTTTGATAATTATGGATAAGTCTGAACCCGAATCGAGCTGTAGCCTTATATTTTTGTTAAATATTTGCACTTCAATATCTTTCCTGGTGTCACTTTCTGGTTCATCAGACTTGGT